AGAGAGAGAGAATGAGAGACAGAGAGCATGAGAGAGAGGAGGGTCAGAGGGAGAAGCAGACTCCCCGCCGAGCAGGGAGCCCGATGTGGGACTCTATCCCGGGATTCCAGGATCATGACCTGAGCCGAAGGCAGTCGCTTAACCAACTGAGCCACCCAGGCGCCCTTTACTTTCGATCTTTATCATTCAGCTTTTATATATACATTTAGAAATCTTCTCATAAAGTATTCTCAAAATGAATTAAATAAAGCTTCTTATCTTGGTGCAGTGAATTATGTACACATAGTCAAATCAGAGCTGTATTGTAATTCCGGCTGTCTTTCCTACCAGCCAGGAGACTGGGTGAGTTACAGAACTTCTCTAAATCCTAGTTTCTTCATCCATTTGGTTTTACCATTATCTACCTGATACGGCTACTGTGAAAATTGGAGGAAACAGATGGTGTTTGGCATGAAATGGTGTTTAATGCCACCATTTATGTCAATGGATTCTGGGAAATGATAGGTGCTGGTAGATGGATAGAGATCAGAGGAAGGTAGGGACCTGTGCTCAGGAAATGTATAGTACAGTTGAGGAGAGAGTAATGTTTTATAGGGATAGTAATATCTAATCAACTCTTAAATTGATGGTTGCAGCCTAGAGCAGGAGAGAAGGTATTGGTGCTGGGCCTATAGGAGTTACCTATGGTCTCATTTGGTGAGGGGATTAGGAAGATGATAAGGCTTCATAGAGGAATTACCCGAGCAAAGGAGAGAAGGCTCAATACCTCTTATATATAGAGAAGAGAAAACAATGGTTTGGATGGAATATGCTCTCCCACTCCTATTCCTCCAAAGCTTAATTTCCCCCCAATATTCTGTTTGGGGACAGAATGTTGTGACTTGGTAAACATTCCTGTGGCATTCTGGTTTTGGCCATCTTCAGGCAATCTCTATTCCTTTAGGCCAGAGGTCAGCAAACTTTCAGTAAAGAGCCAGGTGGTCAGTAGTTTAGATTTTTGTAGACTACATGTGGTCTCTGCTCATATTCTTTTTTAATCCTTTAAAAATGTAAAATCCATTCTTTTTCTGGGCCACACAAAAACAGGCTAAGGATCAAGTGCTGACTTCAGTGTTTTCCTGTCATCTCCGAAGGTAGGGGTTATGTGTGTGTATGTATGTGTGTCTCTTGATAGGGGTTTTGACACAGCACCGTTCTGGATTCCTAGGTGGTGTTTCTTTGACCAATTTTCTTTTTTCTTTTCTTTCTTTCTTTCTTTTTAAGATTTTATTTCTTTGTTTGACGGACACAGCCAGAGAGGGAACACAAGCAAGGGGAGTGGGAGGGGGAGAAGCAGGCTTCCCGCCGAGCAGGGAGCCCGATGTGGGGCTCGATCCCAGGACCCTGGGATCATGACCTGAGCCGAAGGCAGACGCTTAACGACTGAGCCACCCAGGCACCCCGTCTTTGGCCAATTTTCTTGAAAATCTGTTAGTGATGGTCTCATAAATAAGAGCTTTCTCTGATGGTTCAGTAGATGGTAAGGGGTGAAGTTGGAACAATTGGGAACTGTTACCCTATACTAGTGATTCTCAAGCTGGGTTGATTTTTGCCCATTTGGAGACATTTGGCATTGCCCAGAGATACTGTTTAGTCAAAACTGGGGTGGGTAGAGGCCAGCATGCTAGTAAAAATCCTATAGTACACAGGACCTCCCCACGCACCCCAGCAAAGAATTACCTGGCCTGTGTGCCAATACTACCAAGGTTGAAAACCGTGATTTATACAATGGGATTGGTCTCCATTTCTTGAATGCCTTTCTCTTGACTCCATTGTAGCCCCTGACAAGGGGAATTGCAGCGTTCCAGAGGACTGTTTAGTGGCTGAGTTTGTGTGATAAACTATGGCTAGGCATAGCTAATCCTTCTTAGTTCTGTAAGGATTCTTAAAGTGCTCCCACCCCCACCCCTGCCTCCCCAGAAAATTTAGGGCAGTTGTCTCCCCAAAGTATTTTCATCATTTGGCTCTTGTTTTTCTGTCCTGTCATCATATTCCTTGAAAACAGCACTAGATTAATACTTTATTGTGTACCTTCCATGGATAATCATTTTATTTATTTATTTTTATTTTTAAGACTTTATTTATTTATTTTAAGATTTTATTTATTTGAGAGAGAGAAAGACAGAGAGCATGAGAGGGGGGAGAGTCGGGAGGGTCAGAGGGAGAAGTAGACTCCCTCTGAGCAGTGAGCCCGATGCGGGGCTCAGTCCTAGGACCCTGGGGCCATGACCTGAGCTTAAGGCAGATGCTTAACCGACTGAGCCACCCAGGCACCCCTAAGACTTTATTTTTGAGTAATCTCTACACCCACTGTGGGACTTGAACTTAATGAGATCGAGTCACATGTTCTACTGAATGAGCCAGCAATGCCCCCCAATAATCATTTTAATGACCCAATCCATGGTCATTGCTCTGTTGCTTGAGCATCTCCTGGGATTGTTTTTCTAATCCCTCAGTGGGCAGCACATTTATTTCATCACTAGGTGATTTGAGGGGTGGGGAGTGCAGAAATTACCTACCATTTCAGCTTGATTATTATCCTGTGAACTATACAAATAGGCATCTGGTGAATGACCCTCAAAGTGTGATTATCATGGGTTATGAAAGTTGGCCACCCCAGGGCTCTAGGAAGAGGGGGCGGACACCACTTTTTATAATGCCTGCTTTGTGCCCTGGACTTGTTTTATCTCCTTTAATCTTGACAAAAATGCCCAGGGAGGTAAAGATTATCACAGCTTTGGCTTTTCAGATAAGCTGAAGTTTAGTGGGGTTAAGTAATTTGCCAGGAGACATATGGCTGCATTTCTACATTTGGTATATTTAATGGCAGAGAAATGTAGCTGAATGAGGAACAACACGAAGTGAACGAAGTAAATTTGCCCAGCACAGTGGGAAAACAATGTCTCTTTAGTGGAGAAGGAAAGGTTGGGGAGGTGGGGGTGGAGGGTGTGTAGGAATGAAATGGAAAGGGATTTTGGATTGAATGGAAAAGGATATTGCTCATTGAATTAACTCTTCAGATGATTGGTTATGATGCTTGGTGGAAGGGAGCTCTCTGAACTGTTTTACCATTGTATCCTCCTTGATTGCATTGAAGTAATACTTTGAACTTAGTGTCTGTCTTCATTTCTTTACCCTTATTATAAAATACCAGTTAGAAAACTAAAAGCAAACATTCTAATACCCGCCACCCAGATGGCTGTTTTCATTTTAAACTCAAGAAAAGACAAAGTTCCATAGTGTTATCTGTTATATGCATTGTACTACATTCTGAAATTTATGCAAATTTATACATAATACAAAGTGTGACTATAGTATTGAAACTTAAAAATAACGAAATTAAGTATTTAAATAACAGCTTCTTGGGGTGCCTGGGTGGCTCAGTCGTTAAGCATCTGCCTTCGGCTCAGGTCATGGTCCCAGGGTCCTGGGATCGAGCCCCGCATTGGGCTCCCTGCTCAGCGGGAAACCTGCTTCTCCCTCTCCCACTCTGCCTGCTTGTTCCCTCTCTCGCTGTCTCTCTCTGTCAAATAAATAAATAAAATCTTAAAAAAAATAAATAACAGCTTCTTGAGAAAGATACAAGCTTTTTTTTTTTTTTTTTTTTAAGATTTTATTTATTTATTTGATAGAGAGGGAGAAACAGGTTCCCTGCCAAGCAGGGAGCCCGATGCGGGGCTCAATCCCAGGACCCTGGGATCATGACCTGAGCCGAAGGCAGACGCTTAACCATCTGAGCCACCCAGGCGCCCCAAGCTTATTTTAGAGAGATTGTAAATTTGTAAAACTTGATGGAAATCTCTTCTGGTCTCACCCTCCATCACAATTTAAGCCATGCATTTCTTTTTTTTTTTTTTTTAATTTTAAAGATTTTATTTGTTTGACAGAGAGACTGCGAGAGCGGGAACACAAGCAGGGGGAGTGGGAGAGGGAGAAGCAGGCTTCCCACTGAGCAGGGAGCCCGAAACCGGGCTCGATCCCAGGACCCTGAGACCATGACCTGAGCTGAAGGCAAACGTTTAATGACTGAGCCACCCAGGCGCCCCTAAGCCATTCATTTCTTAAAAGCCATGTGTCCTGGCTTACCCAAAGCATGTGTTCACTTGATCAAGAGCCATATTGGTCATTGATAGCTCTGAGCATTTGAATTGTTTCTACAAATTCACTCTCAAAGGACAAGCATTTGCTGCCATCTAGATGGCTATACTATTCAGCTCTAAAAATCTTCTAGTAGGGAGGTTCTCAGGAAAAGTGGCATAGAAATAGTGTCATCAGTAATCTGAAAAGTCTTTTTTCAAATAGCCTAAAAAAGCCATTTGATAGCTCATGGTCTTGACTATATGTCTTTTAAGTCCACATGTTCATTGCCTTGCATATGCTGTAAAGTTAATAGGATGAAGGAATTTACTAACTTTGGTGTATACTTCGTGGTTTGACACTAAATGAAAGTGCTTGGTATTCATGCATTTGCTACTACTCAATAAATTTTATTACTGGTAGTGCCTCAGGACAGGATTGTTTGGGCCATTTTACTATACATTTACCCAAGAGGGTAATTGGAGACTCCAGGAAGTATGGGTGAAGTCCAAACTGACAGGAAGCAGCTGTTCTGTGATTTCAAATCATTCTCAACCTTAGATGCATTTTACTTGGCTTCTTTTTCTTTTTTTTTAAATTTTATTTATTTATTTTGACAGAGACAGAGACAGAGAGGGAACACAAGCAATGGGAGCGGGAGCGGGAGTGGGAGAAGGAGAAGCAGGCTCCCCACAGAGCAGAGAGCTGGATGCAGGGCTCGATCCCAGGACCCTGGGACCATGACCTGAGCCGCAGGCAGACGCTTAACGACTGAGCCACCCAGGCTCCCCTTTACTTGGCTTCTTGACTCTGTGTGAGTTTAATCTTGGGTTAGAAGCACATCATTTTACTTCCTCAAAATGTTTCCTTAACTTATATCCCAGGTTTAAACTTTGAAAAGAATAGTTCAGTCTCCCGGTATGGAGCCTCTCAAGTTGAAGATATGGGGAATATAATTTTAGCAATGATTTCAGAGCCCTATAGTAAGTATTGCTGTTGTAACAGTTGTGGACCTAAAATTTGGTCCTGCCATGTTTACCTCGTATGTACTTTTGAATGTCCTCCCACAGTTTTATCTCCCTAATAGCTAAAATGATGACTTCTATGTTCTCATTTTTAGATCACAGGTTTTCAGATCCAGAGAGAGTAAATTACAAATTTGAAAGTGGCACTTGGTAAGTAGTAGGGTGGTATTCCATTTGAGCCTTTTGATTTGTTTTATTCATATTGTGATATTTAACTCCCTTTGTATTTCAGTAACTTCACTAAACCTTTTGACTATCCATTTTTTTAAATTAGGTTATTTATAAAAGAAGGTTGTATCTTAAAGTGAGCTTGGATGTTGGGGGTTAAACTTAATGAAATATTTGTATCCTTAGTCACTATGACCCTTAGGTATTGTCTGTGCTTCTTTTAGCCTCTCTGAACTATTCATCCTCTCACAGGAAAACTTACAAAGGAAAAATCATAGGCTTTAAGAGTTCACAAGATTTTTACTGAGATAATTTAAAGTATGTTCTATCAGCTTCTACTTTAAAGCAAAGGAAATAACTGGCAAGGAGTATGAAATGGTGGTATCTCTGTGATCACAGGTAGACCTGTTTGCTTGTAATTCACTGCAGTGAATTCCTGAGATAGCTTGGTGCCTGAAGTGAGCAAAAACTTGTGACGTCATTTCCCATAGAGAGACTTTGGGGTCTGTTTAGTTGGGGAGAAAGTGACTAATTTGGAAAGTGTCCTAGGACTTCTGGAAATGTGAATATGGGAGGAACAGAACATCAAAAGGTGTCAAAATATATAATAGGTGATTTGCAAGTGACTCATTAAGGTGTGGGAACTCCCATGCATTTCCATAAACACTCTGTGATGGCTCTCCTCTTTAATAGGGGAGATATTTTAATGGCAGAGTTCTGATTGCATGCACACATTCCTGATGGGGGTTAATTGCCAGCTTTATGCAGATCTTAAGTTTTGCTGTCAAAGTGGATTTAAACCCCACTGGTATACTGGCTGGATCTGAGAATAAATATAAACCTATCCTTCTTGGTTCAAGGTATTGGGAGAACTTTGCTTCCTATGAGTTGATCCTGGATCCTTTTGAGTTTATGCCCAACAAGCAGCAACTCAGCTGCTAGATGGTTTGCTGAGTCAACTAGCTGTGTTGGACCTGCATAGGCATTTGGCTCTCTATAGTGAACTACCTAAGGAATACTTTGAACTGTACCCAGGTAATCTTTGAGGTTATGAAATAAATCAGGCAGTATTATAAGTCTGTCTGAGTACCAAATAATACCTGAGTACCAAATAATACCTTATGTGTAACTAGGAAAATGGTAGCATGAAATAGGTCAGACTCTCTAGCACTAATTAGGCAACGTGAAGTTTTGCTTCACCCACAGCAGCAAGATGGAACTTATTGATGACAATACCATAGTCCGTGCACGAGGTTTACCATGGCAGTCTTCAGATCAAGATATTGCAAGATTCTTCAAAGGACTCAATATTGCCAAGTTGGTTTTCTTTAATCTCTATTTTACTTAGTAATCTCAACGGGATATCGGGTGTCCTATCATTTTTCCTCACTGTGTTTTTCCCCCCCCACCGCTATCTGTCCTTTTCAAAGGGGAGGTGCAGCACTTTGTCTGAATGCCCAGGGTCGAAGGAATGGAGAAGCTCTGGTTAGGTTTGTAAGCGAGGAACACAGGGATCTAGCATTACAGAGGCACAAACATCACATGGGGACCCGGTATATTGAGGTATGTCCTCACAACCTGAGATCCTTGACGTCTTGAATGAGTATTGATATTGGAAGCCTCAGAAACTGTATTTAATTTCCCTTTCTTTTTTTAGGTTTACAAAGCAACAGGTGAAGATTTTCTTAAAATTGCTGGTGGTGAGTGCTTTTTATATAATGCAGCTATAAGAAGAATCTAAAATTTATTTATATACCATAGTAGATAAATAGGGCCATGAATAGTTTTTATTTCCTAAAGAAACATAGGAACTGACTTTTTTTTTGAAGTTGGAAGAAATGACCCGTAATATGAGTGAGTACAGTGTATACCCTTGCCCTAAGGCTTCCGTCAACCAACTAGTTAAATAGCACTTAAAAATAGTACCATACAGGGATGCCAATCTGGCTCAGTCAACCTGTAGAGTGTGCAACTACTGATCTCTGGGTTGAGAGTTCAAGCCCCAGGTTGGGTTAGACATTACTTTAAAAAATAATAATAATAATAGTACCATATAGGGGTGCCTGGCTGGCTCAGTCAGTAGAGTATCTGTCTGACTCTTGATCCCAGGGTTGTGAGTTTGAGACCCACATTGGGTGTAGAGATTACTTAAAAACCAAATCTTAAAAGAAAAAAAGTACCATACAAAGGTGAAAGGGTCCTGTAAAGTCATATACAAAAGGAGAGAGTAGCTCTTGAAAGAAATTAAGTAGTCTGAAAACTACTTTCAAACAGCCACACCAGAAAACCTGGAATTGTTGGATATGTGCTTGTAGGTTTTCTCTCAAGCTTCTGTAACTCATCAGTCAATGGCCAGGAACACAGTAGTTTTCTGGCTCTAATATGTTTGAGTACATAGTGTTTGCAGTAATAAGGTCAGAAAAAAATGGGAACAGATAATGTCTATCTCATTATTGAGTGATTTGTTACTTTAAAATCTGTAAGTAACAGATGCATAAAAAAATGTTGATTATGGTTTGAAAGATTTTTTTTTTCTATACATAGAACTACCTTGTAAATTCCTGTTGCCCTGTTCATACAGTTTTATAACTTTCTCCTTTTAGTGTATTAGAAATATTTTCCCATGTAACTAAATTTTCGTAAATGTTAATTAATATACAGTATTATGTACCATACACTTTTTTTTAACACCCTGTTGGACATTTATAGCTCATTTCCAATTTTTCGCCCTAAGTATGTTGCAGTGAATATTTTGTATTTTGTATCTCTGTGCCATTCATTAGGATAACTCTAAATCTAAGAATGTAGGTAGACCTTTTAAGAGGCTTTTGAAAATATACTCTTGCCAAATATATAGTGACTTTCACCTTAAATATAGAAAACATTTGTATCTCGGTAATATATAGCCCTGGTTAAAATCCTTGGAACTGTTGAACTTGTAGCAAAAACATCTTGTTTGCACAATTTGCTGGTATATTTCCATTCTGACACTTAAGTCTTTAGATATACTAAGGCTTCCAAATTCAGAGCTTCAAGTTTGTGTTTCCAAAATCCCGAAGTGATGTTTAATATTGGTTGGGGATAAAATATTTTTGGAGTTGCTATGGTTCTGAGGTTCCATGATAGATGGCAAGGTTAGCTCATACATTAATCCTGGGATTTCATGGTATGTGGGTAGTATGAGAGTTTGCTCTTAAAGGAAAATGTTATTGGGACATCTGGCTGGCTCAGTAGGTAGAACATGCAACTCTTGATCTAGGGGTTGTGAGTTTAAGCCCCACGTTAGTGATAGAGACTTAAAAAATAATAATAAAGGAAAATGTTATGAGTATATGAGCTCGAAGGATGTGTATCTGAATATTTGCTATATGGTAATACTGTACAAGAGGCTTTATGACAGGCAGAATGTTGATAAATCTCAAAACTGGCTGCCGTGCATGTTCATTATACTCCCCTTATGTTTGAACCTTTCTCAATAAAAAGTAATCAGGAAAATAATAACAGTGCTTTATGTGTAGTAACTTATTTAATTGTCATAAATCTGTGACGTAGGTAACTTTACCCCCATTTTACAGATGAGGACACTAAAATATAGAGGTTAAACTTGACTAAAGTCATAGCCTAGTAAATGGCAAAGTCAAGATTGGACCCAGGCACTCTAGCTCCTTGACCTGTGTTCTTACCTAGCATGATGACTTACTGCCTGTCCATGAGAAGAATATAGTGATTGGTCCATGATTTAATTGTCTGGCCACCTTCCCAAGTTAGATGTTTTATGAAAATGGTAGGGGGGAAAGGTTTCAAATTTGTGGGGAGAGAATTCTGATTCCTGGGGTGTTTCATGAATTCCGTGGGAGTATGAGTTTTAATGATAAACTCAAGACATTGCCAAGAATTTTACCGTGTTAAGTTTGGTAAAGTTGATGTCTTAACCATTTCTCTCCATGCTTCCTGGTATTTGTGTTCCCTAGGTACATCCAATGAGGTAGCCCAATTTCTCTCCAAGGAAAATCAAGTCATTGTCCGCATGCGGGGGCTCCCTTTCACAGCCACAGCGGATGAAGTGGTGGCATTCTTTGGACAGCATTGCCCCATCACGGGGGGGAAGGAAGGCATCCTCTTTGTTACCTATCCAGATGGTAGGCCAACAGGGGATGCTTTTGTCCTCTTTGCCTGTGAAGAATATGCACAGAATGCATTGAGGAAGCATAAGGACTTGTTGGGTAAAAGATACATTGAACTCTTCAGGAGCACAGCAGCTGAAGTCCAGCAGGTTGGTTTTTAAGAGCATTCTAGTGGCTTTGCGTGATTTTCTATTTATTTCCAAGAACAATCCTACATTATTGTGTTAAAACTTGAAAAATACAGAAAATATAGGTCCATTTAAAAAAATTTCATTCCGTAATTAAAAGATAGCCACTGTTATTTTTTATGCACAAAGAAAATGCATTAGTTTGATGTAATTAGAATATTGCTATAGATACACTATGTTCTTTTTAAAAACTACGTATTTTGCAAGTTTACCTATGTCTAAAAAATTTCATTTTTAATGTTATGTACATAATTTAGAAATTCTATTGTACATTTAGGTTGGCCTTTTTTCATCTATAAGAAATTTCCAGATAAACGTGCTTATGAGACTCTAAATTTCTGATTGATTCTTTAGCACTGGATGGGGTGAGCTTTTAAGGTTTTTAATATCTTGCCAAATTTATTTCCAAAAAGGCTTGATCAGTTGCATACTGCTGGTGATGGTATAAAGTGTCCTTTTGTCCTGTTATTCTTCCAGAATTCAGAAATGTTTTTGAGGCACAGATGGGACAATTCAGTTGTGCAAAATGATCCAGACATGAAGCCATCTGTAGGGTTTCAAGCCTTTTGGCTATTCTTCTTGACTCCCCAGCTGAAAGGTCTTTAAGGGTCTTTGTTTTTCTTTTGTAATTCTGAGATCATGCAGACTGCTTCACATGTGGCTCTTCCAACTTAATCTACTTGGGTCCCCTAGTAGAATAGAGCAACTTTAATGATACATTTCATCTTTTTTACAAGCAATTAGGACACTGACTCTACTATCATTCCTATGAGTTCATAAAATGATTTTGCCTTGCTTCTTTCTGCAAAGCTCATTGTGTATTGTGATTTGAAACAATTGCCCAAAGTTGAAAAGAACCTCTCATCTGTTAGGATACTGACATGATTTTTATACCTGGAATAAACATAGGTGACATTTTAAGCTAGTTCTGCATCCTGATGTACTAGTGCTCTTGAACCCTAAACTGTGAACATACTTATAATTTAAACAATTTGGTGCCTTGTTGAAAAGGAGTATCAAATTCTGAATTTCTAAAATATGCTAAACATGCTTGAGGCTTCAAACATATTAAACCTATCAGTGCCAAACCAGAGGAGGGGAAAATAAGATTTTAGATTTTTAATTGGACGGACAGTTTTATGGAAATCTTGGCCTAGAATAGACTACTCCAGGGCCTCAGCTACTGTATATTGATTTGGTTTAGGTATATAGAGAGTATGCGGTCTCAATATGACTTCACCATAATGGGGTTTGGGTGATAGATGAGCTTCCTCTCCAGCGCCCATCCTACTGATTTATTTCAGAAATGCTTAAGTAATCCTATGCTCTGCACTGTCATCTTTTCATTCCTAATAATTATTTCATTCAATAACTACTTGCTCACCTCCTATTTGGCAGGTATCGGAAGGTGCTTGACCATTTCCTGTGCTGAGTTTGTCTACAACCACACTTATTTTCTATTTATGTTCGTCCCATAATGTTTGTGCTGTGTCTGAATTACTTGTATAGTTTTTTAAAAATCTTGCTGGCTCTGAAGTTTCTTTGGCTGTGTTGTATTAGTTCTTTGATTTCTGTCACCTCTTAGCATCTGGACAGGGTGGGAGTGAGGAAATTAGGGTAATTTTGGGGTAGGGTTTTGATTCTATACTTTCAGTTTACGGGATGATTAAGGCTACAGTAGTAAGTTCAGAAAACCTAGGGATGTCACACATGCTGTTTGCACAAGGAACTTCCTAGTATTATAAACTAGCAGGCATGTTCTAAACTAAGGCAAAGATAGACCAGAACTTAATTTTTTTTTAAGATTTTATTTATTTGAGAGAGAGAAAGAAAGAGTGAATATGAACAGGGCATGGGGGGGGGGGTGTGCAGAGGGAGAGGGAGAAGCAGGTTCCCTGCTGAGCAGGGAGCCCCATGCAGGACTCGATCCCAGGACCCTGGGATCATGACCTGAGCCGAAGGCAGACACTTAACCTACTGAGCCACCCAGGTACCCCTTTTTAATCTTTTCAATTTTTAATTTTTTTTAGAGCTAGACCAGAACCTTATAATAGAGTTTTGCCTGGGAGTAATCCTTTCTCCTAAATATACCTAACCTCTTACTCATTTTCAAGCTAGCCGAATTCCATGACTTTAAGATAGTCAAGATGCTCTCTCTCGCTACTATCTCAAATTCATTTCAAAACTGATTATTTTGTGGTCATCAAATAATTGTTTTCATTTTTACATTACCAGCCATTCTGTCTTGGGCTTGTACATTGTTAGAAATGTGGCATTACATTATAACATAATCCAGAGTCATTGCTGGACCTGTGCTTCCTTTACTATGTCATTCTCTTGCTTGGGTTTGGAGATAGAATGTGACAACAGTATTAAGGGGAACACCGTGCTTCGTGAAACGAAATCTAATAGATTGCTACCGAAGTTCACATTTAGCAGTATGTCTGGATTGTTATACAAGCAGCATACTTTTCAGGATATTTGTCCTGAGACCGTGGGGTACTTGTCCAGTACACCAGTCCTTAACTGAAGCACATCGTACTGGGTGTGGCATGTGCCTCAGCATGCATTTGACAGAAGTGGGGGTCTCGTGCTCTCCCCGCTGAACAGTATGAATCCCTATCTTCATAGGTGCTTCTCAAACTTGAATATGCTTATGAATTACCAGGGGCTCTTGTTAAAGTGCAGGTTATGTTTCCTAGCAGGGTAGGACTGAGATGCTGAGCTGCTGCATTTCTGACACGCTCCCCGGCGTGTTCCACAGCACAGTGCTGCTATGCTGGTTTGCAGACCCCCATTGGAGGAGCAAGGCTCTAAATCACTTCTCTTTTGCTTCGAGTACAGGTGCTGAACCGATTCTCTTCGGCCCCTCTTATTCCACTTCCAACCCCTCCCATTATTCCAGTGCTACCTCAGCAATTTGTACCCCCTACAAATGTTAGAGACTGTATACGCCTTCGAGGTCTTCCCTATGCGGCCACAATTGAGGACATCCTGGACTTTCTGGGGGAGTTTTCCACAGATATTCGAACTCATGGGGTTCACATGGTATTGAATCACCAGGTAAGGAGTAATTTATTGGAAAACTGATTTGCTTATTCTTAGGATCAAAGGCTCTCTTCCAGTTTAAAAAAAAAAAAAAAGTACAGATATTCATCAGCGGTATCGTGAATTTCAAAGAAATGTTCAGAATTTCAAGGAAAGCTTTAACTGTAGATGCAGGAGGTGTTTCAGATGAACTCCAGAGAGAATTTTATCATTAGCACGGTAATTTAAATTCATCTCTGATTCCAACATCACTTATATGCACCAAATTATCAGTAGTCTCAGGAAGGATACACACACACTATCCGTCTAGTACAACATTTTACTGTTGCAGCTACTGAGCTTTGCTGTTGTAGTATGAAAGTGATTGTAGACCGTATATAAACCAAAGAACATGTCTGTTTTCCAAAGTATTTTTTTATCTATAGACCGTTTAGAACTCGCTTATTTTATATATATATATATATATATATATGACCTCAAATGACATTTAGTAGAGTGCAAACTTAGTAAGGATTTGTGTCTGTGCCACCTGGAATACTGTGTGATCATACCAGGTGCTCGAATGTGTTCATGAATGTTGAGAAGCCTCCATCAGAGGATAACCAAATTCTAATGGTATAGAAGTATATATTCTAAGCATATTAAAAGTAGTTCCTGTCTTGGTGTCCCTTGATTTTTGGTTAAACAAAATTAATCCATTAGTTGCTGAATTATTTACCAGCATTGTGTGCTATGACAAGCGGGACAGAATTTTTAAAAACCTGTAAACCAAGTGATTTTAATTAAAATTTGGAACTCTTAAAAGCAAGGTTGCATTAATTTTTTAAAATGTTTTCTGAGCATTATGGGTTGAATATAGGTTTGTATTGGAAATACCAACATTTTTCTAAATTGCTAGTCAGAGTATGAGGAATCAGAAAACCTCCTGAGCCCCTGGCTTGGTTTTCCACACCAGCACATGCTCATTCTAACTCTCATGTCAATATTAAGCTATGCAACTTTTAATCTATATATCCTCTCAGCATGCTTCACTGGTGGGAGTACTTTTGAATAAAGCTTCCCTACAATTCAACATCGCCGGGAAATTGTTTGGTTTCTCTTTGAACACCATTTCTAATAACCTAGGGGCTATTGTTCTTTGATTAACCACAATGAACATATTTGCCTCTTATTGACCCACGTGACCTATTGTGATTGTACTTGGGAGAAATGCTTCTTTAATGATGGACGAGCTTTTAGCTGCCTCGAAGATGTTAGATTTCCATCTTGGACTGGGTTTCCCTGGTATCCCTAATTTCCCTGGTATGGTAACTCTTATGGTAACTTGCATGGTTATAATTTGCACTAAATAGTCCCTTAGAGACTTTTAAAGAAATCCATAAAAAAGGAAAGGAGTCTTAAAAGCTGATTGTGTTTTTTCTCCCCCATAAATTGTCCATGTTAAAGAAAACTGACATGTTCTGGTTCTGTGAAACAGAAGTCTACCAGCTTGGTTTTAAACAAGATTTTTAGCAAGCTATTAGTAATTGAGGAAATGTCTATAAACACCTGTCTGACCAAGGTTTCAGGTGGAGGTGCCAGGGAAGAGGTAAGACAAGGACTCCTAAGCAAGGCTGATGATACAGCTTTCACCCACCTTCACTGTGCTTTGCCGCTCCCATTTCCTTATCCCCCTTCTTTGTTCCCAAGCCCACATCCCAGCCTAGGCTTCAGGGAGAAGGGAAAGGGATGTTGCAGGCCAGTGACGGACAACACAGAGCCAACACAGAACACTGGTTTATTCAGCTTCATGTAGGAGTATACATAAAGCCCTTATACTGGTTGTGTTCCTAGTTCTTCTCAGTCAAATAAGATTTAATCGGATTTCTCAGAAAGGCAAAACCCAATATACCATCCTATACCTTGAAACCCCAGTTATAAGGAGACCCTTTCACAATCCTGTAAATCTGATACTAATTAGCAGAAATGAGAAAGGATCATTTTCAGCTATGAGCTCTCAAAACTTTCTCGGAGGTTTTGTGGGCCATTCTGGTGATTAGGTGATAAAAATGCCAGTTAGATTTCAGTAGACAACACTTGTCACCCAGATTTTGTGGCTAAAATGTACTATGGGTGATTGTCACTTTTGCATGTTTTGTAAGCAACCATTTCCTTGTTGAAGGAGACAGTCTCCTTTTGTTTTTATTCTCCCCCCATACGCTCAGGGCCGCCCGTCAGGAGATGCCTTTATCCAGATGAAGTCTGCGGACAGAGCATTTATGGCTGCACAGAAGTGTCATAAAAAAACCATGAAGGACAGATATGTTGAAGTCTTTCAGTGTTCAGCTGAGGAGATGAACTTTGTGTTAATGGGGGGCACTTTAAATCGAAATGGCTTATCCCCACCGCCATGTAAGTTACCATGTAAGTTTTTCTTGGGTCTTGGCGCTCTTCTAAGCTACGTGCTGGTAGGTGCTTAAGCTGCTTTCATAACTTTCTGTGCCCCTGGTTCTTTCTAAGGCAGGTGAGGGGGTTACATAAGGCTTTCCCGTCTGAAATCAGGAGTATCTGGTATCATGTAAGACCTTGGTTGTGGACACCCATAATTAGAGATGGTACGAGTACCTCTTTTCAAATTATATTCTTGCTTTTCCAGTGATAAGCACTTGATTTCTGAAGCTTAGTGTGCTCAAGATAAGCACTGACTCTGGGAGGCAAACTGGCTATGTAGATATTTTAATACGCATTTACAGGTAAAATAAGTATGGTTGGATCCTTTTTCCTTTTTTTTTTTGGTAACACATTAAACTTTTTTTTTTAAGGGTAATTTAATGCCCATTTTGCATTTTTAATTTTTTTGAGCATTAAGTTTCTTTGGAAAGGACAATCTGGGGAGCACTTCTCTTGCTCTCCAGGATATCTGGAATGAGCAAGTTAGTAAAAAACACAAATGCGTAAATAAATTAGCCAAAGTTTCCGTTGGATCGCAGGATCAGTGCTTAATTTCAAGCCATGCTCTTGCTCATTGGCACCTGGGTGCAAGCCATCTGGAATCCTGTGTGAGAGGAATAAGCCCTTTAGTCTGAAGGCCATGTTGTTGTTCGTGACTAAGGAACATTTGGGGATCTGATGTTAAAACTTGAATCTTTTTGACACAGTTTTCACTTCTGAATAAGACATACCTTGTTAGGAGCCATGCAGGGTATGTTTAAAGAATGTAGCACTTGGAATATAGTCCAAAAATAATGGAGAAAGCTAACTGGATTATATACTTGATCCTAATAAAATGGAGTGTGTTAGGAGATCACTTTCTGTGAAGAGGGATTTATACCAATAAAACTATTTGATAAAGTATTTTTCATAGAACATTCAGTGGGGCTTAATCCTTTTTTTCCCCTTGGACTTCCTAAATGCTAATAATTCCATTCATCTGCTGCTTGCTGTTGGTGAATATCTTAAGAGTTGATGACTAATGAGTGTCAAATTCTGGAAACTTATGATTGGGTTTAACTGGTGTCTTAAAGTAATCTTAGTCCTATGTATTCTGTCCATAAACCACTGGTAATGTCAGTAACTTTTGCAATTTCCTTGTGATAATCTTATCAAACATTGTGAGATAAGGGAATTTCTTCATGCTGTGTAACCCAAATTATTCTGCTATGGTATCCTTTTACTTCTCTCTCTTCCTGGTGGAAAACTGGTCATTACAGACTTTCTTCATAAGACTCATTTTTTTCCTCTTTCCTCTCAGAAGCCCTAAGGTAATAGAAAAACTTTAAAATGCCTTTTTCCACATAAAAATAGATTTCCATGTATTTTAATACTCCCCAAAAATTTTAACCAAAATTGACTAATTGCTATTTTAGTGGAAGAGTTCACTCATTAAAAAAAAAAGTCAATTCCAATTGATACATGCTAATATTCCTATTCAACTGGACTTTTTTTTTCCTACCAACTCACTTGAGGTGATTTCCTATTTTCTACAGCAACCAAAAAACTTAGAGAAATTGCATGTTTTTTATCTACTCTCAACAACTAAAGAAGTTAAAATAGTGATTGCTTAATCCCCCATGAAGAGTTTCTTTTTAAATCTGGGAAAGAAATGCTGCTACAGTCTCAGTGTTTTAAAGTTTTAAACTTTGTTTATTGATATTTTAACTTTTTCAAAAAGTTGAACATTTGAAGGTAAACTCCACTTTTCTAATCTATGAATATACACATCTGATTCTCTTTTAGGAGTATAAGAATAGCTGTCCTTTCATTTAAGGAATATCCAAACCTGAGCAGCCTAATCTGTTATCAGATATCTCACCCTTTCTGTATATTGTCCTGTAACAAATTACTTAATAGTTTTGAAAGCAAGATACGGGCATAGGCATTATAGTTTTCTATATGACTTAGGTGCCTCAGTTTGTTCTGTTTGCCCTTTTGTGGAGTCTTTAAGGTCAGGAATCAATTTTAAAATTTATCTACATTAAGTATCGAACATGCAGCACAAGTTTTGGTGAATTATGAAGCAGGGACCTAAAAGTTGAATATGAAATCAATATGACGATCTTTGGTTTATGTAGCCCTGTGCAGCAGACTCTTACTCATCTCCATACACATACAGAAACTCCTAAGAAACACAAAAGACAATAGAGATTTTCCTGTGAAAAGGTATCCCTTGGGCCTCTGCTATTTGCAAAATATATTAGATGCTTCTAGGTGTAAAAATTCAAAGTCAAGAATTCCAAATTCAGGCAACCATGCAGTTAGCTCTTTTGTTGAATGCAGATGGCCTGGATAGTTGTGTTCATCCCACATGTTAAAGCTACTGAGCAGTAACTAGTGTGACTTGAAAGAGTTATGGGGCCTGGATTGAATAACTAGAAGATAATAGAATTTCATCCTTTCTGTTTTCTCTTTAACCTGAGTCAGCATTTTGTCAGCTGACTCTCAGGAAGACTTGAGCATGTTTTTCTTGAGTTATTTTGTAGGCTGGGTAGTGGGGGTTTTTTGTTGGTGGTGGTTATTGTTTGTTTTTTTAAAACAGGTCCAAACATGTAGATAAGCTTCAAACCCCATCTTCTGGGGTTCATTTAGGTAGAAATAATGCAGAGTTAATCTGCTCTTAGGTCAGTTCACTCTGGCACCATCTATGCTTTGGCATAATGCATGGAACTCGTGAAATCATTTTTATCATAACCATTTTCATCTTACACTGTACTACAGAGTAGATAACAAGATGAAAGAGAAGCATAGCTCTCAAAAAAGCAACAACAACCCAGCTTTTAGTGTGAAGTTATACTAAATGTCAGTCCTGTTTCTTTCCTCAACGGGTTAGTGTGTGGTAACTGGCACTCAGGAGTAGAAAACAAAAAATCACATGTAACAAAATGGTTTTTCCCAATTTCTAGGTCTTCAGGGTTTGAGATTATTTTAAGCTGTTATCTATATAATCAAAAGGAGGTTGCTTGGACATTTTAATCAGATTTTGTATGGAAGATGAGAATTCAATGATTGATGAGTTGAAAATTCACCAAAAAATTACCCACCATTAAAAAAATTTTTTCAAACTTTTAGAAGATTACACATTTGAGGAATTTCACATTGTTACAAAAATTTCAGAAAATATTAAATATATACAATGAAAAAAGTTGCTTGGGATGATAAAGAACTGGTCCTTTTAAAATGTATGTATGTGTGAAACAAAATGTATGTACGTGTGGAACAGTCAGCAATGACTTTAAAGCAAGGACAAGTGTCCGTTGTGACAAATGTGTCTCAAAGTCTCTCTCTTTGCTTATTTAGGCCTGTCTCCTCCCTCCTACACATTTCCAGCTCCTGCAGCAGTTATTCCTACTGAGGCTGCCATTTATCAGCCCTCTGTGCTTTTGAATCCACGGGCACTGCAGCCCTCCACAGCCTACTACCCAGCGGGCACTCAGCTCTTCATGAACTACACTGCGTACTATCCCAGGTAAGGTTCTGATGGAAGTGGAAATGAGGGACAGAAACAAAGGACTCCTTTGATAGGCAGTGCCTGAGTTCACAAAAGAATATTGTCTGCCACTGAAGATTAGGATGGCAGGCACCAGCCTCTGTCCTATCTCTGACCAAGAAGGCTGTTTCGAGACCAAAATAAGTTTATTTTATTTTATTTTTTTTGAAGATTTTATTTATTTATTTGAGAGAGAGAGAATGAGAGACTGAGAGCACGAGAGGGAAGAGGGCAGAGGGGGAAGCAGACCCCCTGCTGAGCAGGGAGCCCGATGTGGGACTCGATCCCGGGACTCCAGGATCATGACTTGAGCCGAAGGCAGTCGCTTGACCAACTGAGCCACCCAGGCGCCCAATAAGTTTATTTTTTAACCATATATTGACAGCAGGATCTTTTAGGTTACCTATGTATACAACTTTCCTTTTTTCTTTCTCCTGTCTTTGGGCCATAAGAAAGTAGCACTGTAAGCGTTGCCACAGCATGGCAATATCATGTGCAAAATGAGATTTTTCAGTGCTTTTTTAGAATCAACATATTTTTAATCTGATTCGTTCTTTTTAGTTTCTGGAAGGCAACAGGTATAATGGAGAGAAAGCTATTGGTCTGAAAGTTGGGAGACCTGAGATTTAGTCTCAGCTCTTAGTCTAACTGGGGCAAGTCACTTAACCTTTCTGGTTCTTATAAAATGATGAGATTGGCCACGTTTTTGGAAGTCCCTTCTAGGTCTCATAGCCTGTGATTCTTTTTTTTTTTTTTTTAAAGATTTTATTTATTTATTTGAGAGAATGAGACAGAGAGAGAATATGAGAGGGGGGAGGATCAGAGGGAGAAGCAGACTCCCTGCTGAGCAGGGAGTCCGATGCGGGACTTGATCCCGAGACTCCAGGATCATGACCTGAGCCGAAGGCAGTCGCTTAACCAACTGAGCCACCCAGGCGCCCCTAGCCTGTGATTCTAACTTGGATGTATAATGACCTCCTTCTCAAATTTTCTTTTCAAAAAGATCTGTTTAGCCAGTCACTGGTTCATTATTAAAATAAAATTTTATTTTATTAAAATTAAATTACAACTTTATTAAGATATATTTTTATTAAAATACAGTTTTACTTTGGCGCAAGCAATATTGCTCCAAATTTTAAAAATTACACCAGGCCTTATTTTTCCTTCCCCAGATATTTTGACTATATGTTTTGAGTATATCCACCAATATGTAAGTGAGGTTTTTTGATAAGTGAACTGGAAGTAACCTATCTGATCCCCATAGTTGCTATATCACATTGTAGTTTTTTTCCCCTCTCCATCTAGTTTTCTAGAAGGAGGCAGAAACTGTAGAATCTCGGTAGCAGTGAAGCTTGTGGCCTCTGTTACTTACATTTGTGACTTTGTTAGGTATTTTTAAAACATTCATAAATGCTTTTGCACATACATATTCTTTATTCTGCTGGGGAAGAATAGGGGGAAAGCCATAATAATTGTCAGTTGGCCATATTTTGAAGGTTTGAAAAGGCTCAGAAGCATGAATGATTGTTCGTGGTTGAGCACTGTGTCAGGCGTCTGGCCCACTCCGAATCTGTCACCTACTCTGGACCCTGTGACAATCACTTGCTAGTCGTGGGCTCTGGTTATAAGAAAGATCTTTGTCTACCTTTCTTACACCATCAGGATGTCAGGAGTGAAATGCATTGTTCCTCTGGGTGCCTGGTGCTGTTTTTCCACTCTAGAATACATTTGCAGAGTATCCAATTCCACCACTGACTTGTAATCTGGGCCCTATGAAAAGAAGGAATCCCTTAGAAATAGCTGGCTGACATGGTAAAATGGGAATTCGAGTCTTGAATGGAAGCCCCAAAGTCAAGAGGAACTGACATTTATGGCTTATAGTTCCTGTCATTTTGGTCCCATGACTATAGGTTAATTTTTTTCTAGTAGTTTTAAAGTTTGTAAGGTCCTCATTGTTACGTATAAGAGTATAGAAGTATAGCGAGTAAAAGTAGACTCCCATTTTATGCACCTCTAAGTCTAGAAGCAGTCCCTATTACTGGTTTAGTAATAAAGACGTGTGTACTGGGCGCCTGGGTGGCTCGGATGGTTAAGCGTCTGCCTTCGGCTCAGGTCATGATCTCAGGGTCCTGGGATCGAGTCCCGCATCGGGTTCCCTGCTCAGTGCAGAGCCTGCTTCTCCCTCTCCCTCTGCCACTCCCTCTGCTTGTGCTCTTCTGTCTATCTCTCTGTCAAATAAATAAATAAATAAATAAATCTTTAAAAAAAAAAAAAGACGTGTGTACTTTTAAATAATGTGGCATACTTAACATGTACTGCTCACTTGTCCCTTTTGTTTTTTTAACTTGCCACTAGGTCATCGACATCTTCCCTAAGGAATATATATATATTTACCTCATTCTTGTAACTTCCACATGATGTCACAAGGGTGAAAATACATCAGAATTTAATAATTCCTTTATTTTTAGACCTCTAAAAGAATTTTTCTCTATTAAACAAAGCTCATATTGATCTTTAAATACTTATATTTCTGTAGGACAATTTCACAGATATGATGGAGTTTTTAAAAACTCATTTTGAGACGGTGCAAGAGGGGAGAGGGACAGAGGGATAGGGAGAAGCAGAGTCCCTGCTGAGTACGGAGCCCAACTTGACACTCAATGTCACGACCTGAGCCGAAATCAAGAGTCGGATGCTTAACCGACTGAGCCACCCAGGCGCCCCAGAAATGAAATTTTTAATTGAAGGTCATGGGTATTAAGTTAAAATTAATACTTTCAAATAACCCCTAACATATTACATTACTTTAATTGACATTTCCCTAATTGTGAAATTACCCACCCAAGGTGTTTAAATATGTCCTGTTATTTATCCTGCAAAATCTAGAATAATTTAAGAAAACAAATTCCAAACTATAAAATAGTTTACAGTTTTGGCAGGATATTATTAATTTCTAACTTGACATGATTAGAAGGCATTTGAGGTTATTGAAAAATTGCTGTGTAAGTTTTCAAGTATATTTTGACCATATTCCCTCATAAATGGGGAAGGCTTAAGAGAGTGTCTGTGAGGCTAAAAAACGATATTAATCAGACACTCTGGAGTTTTTCTCTCTCTAAAGTTTTTTTTTTTTTTTTAAAGATTTTATTTATTTTTTAGAGAGCGAGCGAGAGAGAAACAGCATGAGAGGGGAGAGGGTCACAGCGAGAAGCAGGCTCCCCGCTGAGCCGGGAGCCCGATGTGGGACTCGATCCCAGGACCCTGGGATCATGACCTAAGCCGAAGGCAGACGCTTAACCATCTGAGCCACCCAGGCGCCCTCTCTCTAAAGTTTTTTAAATTTCCTCCTTTTTTATGAAATATGTCAGTTTGACTTAATTCAATGTGTTCATTACTTTAAGAGGTTAAGATCCCAATGTATTTTGCAGATTTTTTTTTAAAGATTTTGAGAGAGTGAGAGAATGTGCACACAAGTTGGGAGGAGAGGCAGATGGAAAGGGAGACTCAGACTCCCTGCTGAGTGCAGAGCCCTACCATGCAGGGCTCCATCCCAGGACCCCGAGATCATAAGCTGATGATGAGCTGAAGGCTGCCACTTAACCGACTGAGCCACCCAGGCACCACTATTTTGCAGTTTTCCTTTTTTTTTTTAAGCATGTCCCTTGAAAAGAAGTGGGTGGCTTTAACTTTTTTTTTTAAGTAATCTCCATTCCCAACATGGGGCTCAAACCCACGACCCTGAAATCAAGGATCACATGCTCTACTGACTGAGCCAGCCAGGCGCCCCAGTTTTAACTGTTTTTAACTTTCAGTTTAACTGAGCAAACTATTATTTAGTACCTCTGTGAGATCTATTGGGAATGCGAGGGTTAATAAAACATAGACTCTAGTATAGAGTGGCTGACAGAAAGCGTATGTGACCCTGTGCTAAGTCAGTGACATCAGAGGTCTTCTTCAGATAGAGGGCATTTGTCCTTATTTTATCTCTAATTTGGTCTTATTTAAAAATTTGAAGATAAACTGTCCAGTGGCTACTGCTCTGAGATATGGCATCTTTCATCATAAGGATTTGGGTTACTTGAGGAACATTTAAGGAGAAAACATGAGCCATTTATTATTAAAGTTTTTAGCAGTCTAATTGTGTGCCTGTGACAATAACATTTTGAAGAGTAAGTGAAATAAAAGCATATGTGGTTTTATTTTCTGCTTATGGACTTTCCCCTCCCTTTTGGAAGACAGTTTCAGTTACCCAGTATCCTGGAGCTTAGCCAAGGATGCAAAGGAATTAGAAGGGTAGATACATTTATGCCATCCTGCTTATCACTCAAAACTCCATTTATATCACACCTTTTCTCTCCAAAAGAAGAGTCCTACCTTTTATTCTCACCTTTCATATTTTTCTTAGAAAAGTATATTCTCCTTTTCACCAAAGCTGTAGCACAGATGAGAAACATGCTGGTTTTCCAATTCTACGCCGTCTAATTTAAGGAAAACCAGATTAACATAAATGTCTTTATATGCATCACCTTACCTTTTGTAGGACACTAAATAAGTAACATCACTTTGAACCAAGAAAGAGGGCAAGGGATATTTTATTCATGAGTGTACTTCATTTGTGTGCCCATGTGAAAGATTTTTTCTTTCTTGGGATAGCCATTTGTTATTCAATCACCTTATTTCTACCTAAGCAATGAATATGTATATTTAGTAGTATTAAGGCATTCTGCACTATTTGGTTTGTTGTATAGCATTACTGTATTCTATTCTGAAATTCTTTGCATTTGAACCAAAAAAATACCAACCCTCTGAGAGATGTCTATATTTTGTATTTTCAATGCCTAGCTTTCGAGAGAAGTATACTTTCATTCACATGAAATTGTAACAAATAGTGGGAGAGATTTCCTATACACTTTACCAAGTTTCTCCCAATAGTAACATTTGGCAGCCAGTTTACTTTCTTTTTCTTTCTTTTAAGATTT